ACTGGTTCTATGCTGCGCTCACTGTGCAGTAGTCCTCTGCTTTACAGTTTCCAGACAGAAAATCACTAGTCTTTGCCAGTGTGGAAGAGAGCTGGAACTCATCTGCATGTGAACATGGCTTTCAACCAATCCTCCTTAACCTAGCCCTTCCCGTTCACCCTCACTTTGAGATTAGCTGATACTATCAATCCACCTTTCAGAAATTTTGCAATGTATTTCCCATTGGTTCCCAGCTTTCTTCTCCCCAAGCCCCACTTTCTTTAACTGAGAGATTAGAACTCATTTTCTTGGGACTGCTAAATTTTTTTTTTTTTCAGACGGCTAAATTCTTTACCGCTCATCATGACCTTCTCCCAAGAGTTTGCTGTTTCCACTTATGCCTCATTCTCATCCTTGTGGTGTGTGTGTGTGTGTGTGTGTGTGTGTGTGTGTGTTGTGCGTTGAGGATTGAACTCAGAGCTTAACACACATTAGGCAAGGGCTGTGCCAATGAGCTACACTCTCAGCTTCCCAATTTTTTCCATCCAATGCTGGGGTCTGAACCCTGGGCTTTGTGCATAGGTTTGTACAAGCACTGAACCACTGAGTTATACCTCCAGCCTTGGATTTTTTAAATCCCTTACTAGTTTTTTTTGTTTTGTTTTGTTTTTTTGAGACAGGATCTCACTATGTACTTGAGACTGAACTGGAACTCACTATGTAGCCCAGGTTGGTCTCGAACTCACAGCAATCCTCCTGTCTCAGCCTCCAGAGTGCTGGGACCTTACTAGTTTTGAGATTGAGAAGACAATAAAAACATACATGTATACCATTCTCTACCTAGAATTCCCATAAAGCTGTATTCTCATATATTAAACTTCTGTCTACAGTGTCTCACGAAGATGAAAGCTTTTCAGGCTCAAGGCTTTTTCTGAATCAGAAAATAAATGGTATACACTTGAAACCTTGTCACAAAACTGAAGAGCGCACTAAGATTCTTCAGAGAAGTCATTTGCTGGTAAGATCAGATGCAAAGAACCTTCAAGTTCACAGCTCAAGAGTAGCAATGTCCAACAGAACTTTCTGTGAATTGCTCAATACAGCAGCCACTAGACACATGTGGCTATCTGTGCAATGAACTGTGGCTTGTGGGAGTGAAGAACTGCATTTTTAATTTCATTTCACTTTAACAAACTTAATCCATGTGGCTGCTTAAATTTAAGCATCCGTATGGTTGCTTAACAGTTAAAGGGTACCATACTAGACCACAAAGCTCTAGAGAAGATTCTTTTGCACTCAAGTATTAAAACAAAATCGTCCACAGGCCAAGGATGTAGCTCAGTGGCACCTTGCCTGCCTAGCAAGCACAAGTCCTGAGTTCGATCCCCAGTACCGCCCCCGCAAAATTAAATCATCCACACGTTATTTCTTCAATACCCTCTAAAAATACCCAACAGACAGAGATGCTTTTTCTAGGATGCAGTATAATTTAAATGAAACAATTACCATCCCCTTGCCTAGGAGATCCTCACTAAACGCCTTCTAAGTGCTCAGGGTTAAGTGGTCACTCTTGACCTTAGGGCCCACACAAAAACATCAACTGGTTTCCTCACTCCGGAGATCCACGTGAGTAAAGCTGTCTGATACCGGTATCTTCTTCACTCTAACACTGCCTTTCACTCTAAAACATAGCTATAAGCAAGGCTGGATGGAGGAAAAATGATTCCACAAGTCTTTCCAAAACTACAAGGCACCCACAAGATGACAATACTTAAAGGTGTTAAGACTCTTCCAAGGTACAGACAGCTCTTTTATCTAACCCTAGACCTAACAATATCCACCAAGGTACTGAGCGCTACTTTATCTCACCGAATATTCACGACAGCCCTATAAAATAGGTGTTATCTTAATTCCATCTATACTGAGAGATGGCAAAGTGTCACTTGCCTAGGGTCTCAAAGAAATCGACAGGAAGGGTTCTCAAGCCCCAATCTGTCTGAATCCAAAGACAGCGCTCTAAATCCCCGCACATACTACATGCTTGAAAAACATTCGCTGAACCTAAAGTTTAAAGTAGACTTGGCGTTGGCCAGGAGCTCGATGGAAAAATGCAGCGGAGACTCCGAAAGGCGAACTTCTCCAACTGTGAGGTCAGGGGAAGGCCCTGAGGGCTCCAGCTGCCAAAGCCGGAGCCCGGACTCCTCGCGCCGAATTAGGTCTGCGCCGCCCGGGATGGGCCGGTTCGGAGTCCCGAGGAGCCGG